CAAGCCCATTCAAAACTGTGACTGCCAGTGCCACCCCTTCCTCCCAGCCCAATCAGAAGTGGCAGTTGCGGCTGGGTCCCTTTGTGGCGTGTAGCTGCAGGGCAGGGAATGCGTTGCTGCAATTGATTGGTTTGTTGGTCACAGTTTTGAGCAGGCTGGGGCAATCTCAGGCCAACTGGATTCGCAATTAATTGGTGTATTTTATTTGGCCTTAAGATTATTGGGAGTCAGTGTGCCGTGTCTGTGCCCACTACCATTATCATGGCTGATACAGCAAGTACAGGAATGGCAGCTCCTGTTGGTCTTTGGGTTTTTGATGCAGACTTTTCACAGCTTCAATCAATACGTTATCCCGCCGCACCGTGACGGCCTCCAAAGTTTAGCCTGTTAACACAGGAAACACTTGCGAGGCAGCGTTTGTGAACCCGTGGATTATTATATATTTACTGCTGCTGCTTGGAATGTCTGCGTGGTGAGTCACGGTATTTTCTTTGCCTATAAAAGTGATCTTTCCTCCAGGCATGTGTTTCTAATACACCGAGCAAGCTGGAGAGTTTTGTTTCGGTAACACAGGAGAGCATTTTTAGGAATCCCAAATTGTGCCAGCGCTGTAAACGGTAACAGCAGAGAATAGTGCAGACACATTTATCCTGGCGGAGAATGATACTCTTAAAGGGGAACTAGGGTGTATTTTAAAGCGTATGTCTGGGATAAATAATATAAAAAAAATATGCAAGTTCCTGTAGTAAGCTGACAACATTCTGCCTCTGCTGCAATGAAATCCCAAGCAGTGTTGTCCCCTGCTGGATTACAGAACACTTGGGGCCGGGGTGGCCACTATTTTTTGTGTTAAGATCTACTTTTCAGAGGACGAGCTCAATGAGATCTACCAACGATAATAATCTATAATCTCCGTGATTATGCTCCTGGCTGTCTCTCCTTGCTTATCCTCATGGCTCTCTCTCTCCTGGCTCTCTCTCTCTCCCGGCTCTCTCTCTCTCCCGGCTTTCTCCCGGCTCTCTCTCGGCTCTCTCTCTCTCCCGGCTCTCTCTCGGCTCTCTCTCTCTCTCGGCTCTCTCTCTCTCCCGGCTCTCTTTCTTTCCCGGCTCTCTCTCTCCCTCTCCCGGCTCTCTCTCTCTCTCCCCCC